GCCAAAGAACGAACGTACGTTGTGCTCTTAGGACGGTGTTGAGAAGCATTGGGACAGACGTACTTATCGCCCACTTGCACTTGTTCCTGAAAGACCTCACGTTCTGGTTTCGGGCGATGGTTTGTTCTCCTGGAATACCACGGTAAAGCGGTCAGCGCAGGCTTGAGTATCATGAACGGAAACGACTTGCAAATGCTTCAGAAACATGTTGCGCTTGTACACCTTGAGCTCGACATCGGGACCAAGTTCGTCGCGGCATTTTGAGCACGTGAAACCAGAAAACTGCCGTATAATGAGAGTATATCATTCACCAAGAACCAGACTCCGTGGAGAGAGGTCGAACTTGCCTTGTCCGACTTCAGAAGCTTCTCCAGAAACAGAAAGTACCTGACTCGAAGCACCGCCATCGAGACATTCCCGATTCCTTCTTTCTCCAGCTGGTTTTTCCTCTCCTCGTCGAAAGACGTTAGAACCTTCTCGCTATAGCGGTTTTTTGCATCGAACTTTTGCTGAGGTTGATCAGTGCCTTCTCGAAGGTAATGGCGGAGCTTCGCTTCAAGACTATTCAACCGCCCGGGCTGCGCGTTGAAAAACTCTTCGTCCGGATCCTCCGAGGCAGGAAGGTCTTCCCAGTCTTCTGGAGCATCGTCGCAGTCTTCTGGAGCATCTTTGTAGTCATCTTCGTGAGCGTAAGGATCAAAATCCTCAGTTTCTGAGCCCGGGTCGGCAGGGGCAAGTAGCAGCAGTTCTTGCTGTGCATCCTCGTCGTCAACGAGAGTGGCGTTGGGAGAGCGAGATGAGGTCGAGGAGGATGCGCCTGCTGAATGCAAGAAGTGGGTTGCCGCGACCTTCTTCAAAGTGCGAGATGGCGCGTCAAGAGTCGAGATTGCTGTGGCGATGTCATCGACGCTGTTGCTCTCAAGGCGCTTGTGGTACTCATTGCGAAGTTCCTTGGTTTTCCCTTTGCTGAGACGCTTTTGGACTCGGCGACGAATGTCGCCCCGGGCTTTCCTCGCTGCAGTGTAGTCTTCGGATGCCTGACAAGCGTTGAAGGTAGTTCCATCAGCAGAGGGCGTGGCAAAACCATAGCAGCTCACTAACCTCTTTCCTGGCAGCAACTGTCCCCCACCCTTCCGGCAAGTTGGTGGCGCCTTCAGGGGGGATTTCGTCGTCTACCTCGCTCTCGAGCCAGAGATACCCCGGTTTCCCGCCTTTCTTCAGGTTGGACCCCTTCTGATCCTGAGTGATGTCAAGGTTCGTTAGGTTCCTAAGTCGTTCCCAAGCATCCGAGCAGGCCTGGTCCGCGGCGACCAATTCCGGATCGGCCTAGGTAGAGAGAGCGCGCGCGCGCATATCATGATTACCATATTTGAAACACACGAGCAACGGAATGAAGGTGCTGCTTACCAAAACCGCTTCCTTAATTTCGCTAGTAGTTTCGGCTGTGTGAACTTTGGTTCTCTTGGCGACATTGATATCCACCGGTGCTTCTTCATCGCCGTCGGAACCAACTTGAATGAAACGGACGCAGTCGATTCCGTCGACGGGCTGGCCCTGGGCGATGCGGACCGCTCGAGCGCGGACAGCTGGGGAACGAGAGACGTGCCGCATCATGGCCTCCTAGAGACGGCCAAAAGAAAAAAAAAGGTGCTCGACAGTTAGAGCGCAAACGGGCGGGTATGCTCATCGTGATCAGACTTACTTCAGCTCTCTGGACATTCCCCTCGCTCGCCTCGTGAGCTCGGAGCGCTGCCATGTCGAGAGTGGCGACACCTCGGGCGTAATTATCGTTGAGAACGGAATCCTGGGCGCCGTGTCCAAGAACTTGCTGAGCGGCGGTTTCACCAAGTTGATTTTTTAGCTAAGGAGTGGATACGACAAATTTAATTAGTAAGGTTGGAAGCGGGCTATGGGCGAACCACTCACATCTTCACCACCCCAAGTCCTCAGCTGCTTCGTGCTTCCTCCTCCAGACTCTTTTGACCCGATTAGACCGACCTTGTTAGCAAGATAAACGACCTGTCCGGTGAGATCGCTCGATCGAGCCGGACTCGTACGATCAACGCCATAACCCCCAGACAGGCACTGGTAGAACCTAAAAAGGAAATAAATAGGTGGACGATTCAGAGTCTGGTGCAAAAGGGGGATGCTAAAAAAAACGACGTACAGGGGATCGTTGGGGTTTTTGTAAACGATCTGATGTTCTGAACCTCCAAGCAGGCTGTCCAATGTCTGGCAAAAAGATCAGGAGTGCCGGCCATTGGACGAGTGAAACGACGCTTACAGTATGCTTCTGAAATTGACCACGGTGGAGCAAGAGAGCGATAAATGGAATTGCTGGCTCGAGAAACAGGTTCCAAGGGTTCTTTAACGATCCGAGGGTCATGGTCAAGGGAGTATTTCCTCTAGTTCCGTTGTATCCCTGCAGAGATGTAATTACGGAATGCCTGATCGCAGACGAGTTGGTCGTAAACGAACCTTTACATTCTTGATGTGCACAACCATTTCGAACGCGCCGGGAACCTTGATATCCCTGAACAGCTCGATGTCCTGCAGTTTCATGTACTGTTGGAAAGGGCACCAGAGACTGAGCAAAGTGCCAAAAAGAAGGAACAAAAAAGAAGGCACTGACTTTTCCTTCTTTTTTCCACTGCTTGTACGAGAACCCGAATGCACCCACTCGCGCGCTCGTCACGTACGCAAGCGTGATGAGCAGGACGGTCTGCAGTGCGACTTCCATGGACGCCGAGGTATTGAAAGCTTCGTCGACGAGCATTTGAACTTCATACCGCGTCCAATAAACCTTCTTTGGCCGCCATTTATCGAGAGAGTACTTCGAGAAAACTAAAAAAAAAAGGGGGGGGGGAGGGGCAAACACAAGGACGGCGAGCTTAAGATCGAGGGGAAACGGAGACTCACTTAGTTTTGCGTCCTGAGCCAGCTTGACGAACAAACCCGTGTCGCCCTTTTTGAGACCGAATCGCAAAAGGTCTGGACCGAGGGAAGTGACAACGCCATCTACAACTTTCGAGCAAAATGTGCCGATGACCTTGATTAAACATGAAAGCCAGCTCTCGACAGTAGACCAGTGCACGAGGTCGGGAGTGCGGCGTCCGCGTGTGTTCTCTACCTTGACACGAACGAATAGACAAGCGTAACGATAAAATGTTTCGGGCTCGAATGCGCTACCCTCGGCGACGTCCTTGCGGGTATCAATGAAGTCCTGCCAGCTTCCCACCATGGCTTGGAGCTTTCGAGCCATTGAAGGTCCTTGAAGTTCCCAAAAGTGATCGTCGTTGATATCTTCGAGAGTAGTACTGGCCCAGTCCTCGAAAGTTTGAGGGTCTTTATTGATGCGAATGGTCAGATTCTGAGCAAACTTGGACTTGTTCGTACTGCGAGCAGGAATTGGCGGCACCATTTTGACGACGGAAGCGAGCGATGAGAAGGCGAAGGAGCAAGTAGCAAAAGACGAGGGAGATCTGTCGGCGAAGGGAAGAAAGCCGGGAGAACAATCCAGCCAAGCGTTCAAGCGACAAGTGGAAGCAGAGAGAGGCGGGTGACGAGAGATTTGCGGGACCTTCTAGAGTGGGCCAGGAGCTTTGAGCGTCGACGTGCCGAATGCAGGGGGAGCTTCACAAGCTGGCTAGGTTGACGAGGGAGCGACAGGGTAGTAGATGAGAGCAGCGACCAAGAAAGGAGAGGGGATGCGGAGGGTCAAGAAGAGGGGGGGGGTCAAGAAGAGAGAAGGGAGGGGGGGGAGATTACAAGACGGTTGAAGAGGAGAGAGACGATGGCCGAGTAGGGGGGTTTTATTCGACAACCCCAAGTTGCATGTGCTTTCGGTTTGGTACCGAAGGCTTGACAGATCGCCAACTTGAATAAACAAAGGACCTGCCTTCGGGTGGTCCAATGAATTGGTTTGTGGACTTTCAAGTATGACGTTTCCATTCCGATCACGGGCACTCCCAAATTGAGACGCTTGGCGAGTATTCTTTGGAGCGAAATTCGCTTGGCCAAAGCCTCTCTTTTACATGGGAGTGAAAACAAAAAAAAAAAAAAAAAAAAAAAACAATATTATGGCAACACGTCAAACGGAGTGCGGGGAAGAGGCTTGAGAAGGTAACATGTGAAGATTTCAATCGTCGGCGGACGAGGACGAGTATACCCCAGGCGTTCCTGCAGGAGGTCTCCGATGGTAGGTGCAGTGGTGTCGATAGGGTAAAGCCGGACGTGAGCCGATGCCGAAAACTGGCCAGCCAGCGGGAAGACGTGCGGAACGGAGGTTGCTAGGCACCAGGTGTTGGTTATGGTGGTATCGGTGGTG